CCTCATTTTGGCTGAAAGTTTTACAGAAGATACAAAACAAAAAGTTCTACAAGTTATCAAAATTTCACTCATTGATCATGTACTGTTCAAGAGAAATTTACAATATACTGGAAAATGTAGAGCGACAATTTTTAGAAAAGTATGTAGAATGACAATTTCACGGCTCTATAACTCCTCAACAACTCATGCGATTCAGCTAAATTTTTTAATCAATATATAAAGTGGCAAGATCTATCATTGATAAAAATTTCAGCCCTCAATCATCTTCTGTTCTGCAGAAATTTACATTATACTGAGAGATGTAGAATGACAATTTTTCGCGAATATTTTCAGTACGGCTCATCCAAAAATATTTTTTTGACGTAGTTACGTGAGAAGCGATTATAGAGTATCATTTGGGGAAAAAATGATGACCGCAAAAGCGAAAATGTTCAAGATGTTGACGATTTTTACGAAAAAATTTATTCAGCATAAACATAAAAAAGCGCACTATTCTCTAGCTTCCATTTTTCTTGAAAAATTCGTACCTAGCACGAATAAGGACATGATCCCAGATAGAATCGTCAACATGGTTCTCCAGAAAAATTTTTTTTCGAAATTGCCGTACTCCCCTTCAGGGTTTCAGGTGGATAGAAAAACAAATTTCATTTTTCGTGACAACTACATCGTCCATTCCATCTATGATCATGTACTGATTTCTGCTATATATAAATTTTGAACTTTCAAAGTGTGGTTGTTTTGGCATGTAGTCACCCACAAGTAGAAAAAATCATACATTTATAAAAGGGCCATATCTCCGTTAATAATCGATCAATTGTTGGGAAATTTGTTTTGTGTACTACTGGCATTGATTGTAATAAAATGCACTACTGAAAAATTGTATGGGTTCACTTTCATCTGTTCGCGTGAATTGTACCAAAGAGTTGCAATTCACTCATATATATTATTGTTATTAACATCTATTTTTAGGGTGTGGGCGTAGTGTTCCTATTAGAAACACTGGATGGATCTATGTTTTACTTGTTTTATTTCTCTAATAAGCAGAAAAAATCTATTGGTTGAAAATAAATAAATCGGTTTAAAAGACTTCGAACCGAACCGAACCGGACCGAAAAAGTTTTAAACCGAACCGATCGCATCACTGATTGCGACTAACCTAAATAAAAGAAATTAAAAAGATGATTTGTTTTAAAATAATAATTACTTAGGATTTTGAATTTTATATTCAGCCAAAAAAATAAAAATATGATAATTATTTATGAAAAATTATACTAACGTTCGAATTCAAAGTTGAATTTCGATCTAAAAGAATAAAAATAACAATTATTGAAAGAAAAAGTATACTTACTCGCGGTTTTGAATTTAAAATTGAACTAAAAGATTAAGAACAATAATTTTAATAAAAAATATTATTTTTACCGATGATTTTCAATTTTCTCTGCTATCCAACTAAAAGACTGAAATAAAACAATAAGTATATATAAAAATTAATGCTTGGATTTGATCGGATTGCTTCGAAAAATCTAAATTAAGCCCCCTCCCCCCCTCAGATCTGAGTTGTCCCTTAAAAAGGTCCGTTTGAGCTGAAATTTTCAGGAATGACTAGTCTTTACTAGAAACAGTCGTGATAAAAATTTCAGCTCGATATATAGAACTGAACCGAAAATATGGCTGATTTACATACGAATTATGGCCACCAGGAAAATCCCTAAGGCTCTGCTAGTAGCAGAGCTATACAAGTCGCGCTTGTTTTAAATTAAACCCAGCGCCAATACGCAACTTTTGTCCGAACAGAATTTAAAAATTTGCTTTAGTTCGTGTTTTACAAGCATTTTACTCGGATAGGGGTCAAAATTTGGCTAAAAATGGTCACCTGTCGGTATGGAATCCGACTTTTCTCAGATCAGGAATCAAATATAAAAAATCTGATCGGACACGATTTTACTTACACTTCAAGCTTCAAAATAAAATAAAAATGACCTTAATATCTTAAAACGCTTGAAACTAGTTACAGTTTTTCTGACAAAAAATCTAGTTTTGAGAAAAACGATAAATAAGTTTAAGAATCATTTTTTATTGTTTAAACTTAAAAAAATGCGGAGAAAAGATCTATTTGTTATATTTTTACACTGAACCTTTTCGGTGATGTTATGAATGATATCGACTCGCTCCATCTATAAATGATCTTTGCTATTAGCTCTATTCTTTCAACTGGCGCGCCTATACTTATGAAAAATGAGAGTTTTTAACCTATTAAACATAATCAAAATTGCTTTTAACCCTTTAAGTTGAATGGAATCGATAGAGCTATCATTTCTGCACATATTCATTGTATTTCCTCTTTCATAAACTGATTTCTTTAATTACAAAATAGCGATCTGTGAAGCAAGGTAAACACAAATCGTCGTCTGGTCGAGTACTGCCACTTATTTTATTCAGAGAACATTTTTATGGAAAACAAACCTCATATTCGTGATCAGCGTACTAAATAAGTTACGTCTAGATCAAATTCTGGGAAAAAAAGAAAAACAAAATTTCATTTTCGGGAGGGTGACAAATAGGGCTATGACAATTCTCAGATCTAAGTTCCGATCAAATGAGCGAAAAAACTGTTCAAACAGATCTTTAGATCTGATCTGATCTGTTCGAACAGTTCCGATCAGATCATGTGAACTGTATGAACAGTTCTTTTGAACGGAACTAGAACTGAACTGTCATACCCCTAGTGACGAAGGCACAATGATTTTACAAAAAAAAGAATAATTTTTTCCAAAACAAAGTTCACCGTTTTGTTTAGAATTTTATACTGATTCCAACTATGTAACTATTTTTTCAGAAAATAGTTCGGTCAAAAAATGACTTCTCTTTTCTCGAAAAACAAAACAGTACGGTTTAGTATTTTTTCGATAAATCCCTTAAAATCGAACCTTTTTTAAAAAACCCATATATATTCTGAAAGAGGAGAATTTGAGTCATCTACCCATGATAAAAACTCAAACTTTAATTTTTTCGGAAAAATCGACTTTTTTAAAGGGGGGGGGGGGGGGTTA